ACATGCTCAATATCACGCATGACTCGTTTCAGGCTCGGAAAGCGCTTTACAGCATACAGCTCTTCGAATCGAATACGAACAAAATGCCTCTGAGTGCTATCAATCGCCTCGCAGCCAGCGGTGAAAAGCGGCCAGATGTGTGATGATGTAAGAGGTGAATATGCATCGACCTGTTGTAGTTGTGATAGACACTGGTTGATGTGCTCCATGCTTATCGGGTTGGGAGCACCTATATCAAGCCAGGTCCGGTACAAATATATAAAAGCGGCATGGCGGTAGGCTTCAGCTGTCGAGCTGATATCAGTATTTTCTTGGGTATCTTCCTGCTTACATGCAACGAAGTCCATAGCTAGTAATGTTTGCTGAATTCGCCGACCGGTAGTGTTCTCATCTTCCGACAAAGCCGGACATGTTGGTGATTCTGCCTTTCTCATCTTTATAGCGTGCTGTAGCTGACTGATCTGTGCAACCACCAAAAGCACATTTGCAATGCTTTCTAGCTGTTGCTCTCCTTCGACGGCGGTGAAGCCCGTTTCGTGATCCAACAATGGCTGTGAACCTCTCGAAACACTTGAGAGAATATCGTGATATGCGAAGAGACTCATGAGGAATCGGGCATTCGACGAAGCAAGCCAGCCATCTCCTTCATGTCTCGATATCATAGCTTTAGCACCGATCAGATGATTTGCAACGTGAGCTTCATCGTCATCGCCAAATAATCGTGCTGATACCTGCATCATCATAACAGTGGCTAGCGCCGGCTCAGCATCTATCTCTACCGGATCTTGAATCATCTGCTGAAGCTCGCGAATGGCGTTGCGCTGGAAACGGTAGCCTTGTAGGTGTAGCGAAGCATTATTTGAGGTTAATGCGAGGTGATTTGCGGCCATTGAAAGAATCGTTGATCTGAGCGCCGGAGACTCGTAAGCCATGGCTGTCAAGTGTCGCTGAAATGGTGTTGCAACGCCATGTCTAGGTGCTACCGATATCAACGTGGAGAGCTGCTCAACCCAGTAATTAAGGAGCCATCGATCATCTAGGGACAAGCCGTATGACAAACCAGGACTGTTCAGCGGCAATGTAGACATGCTGTTTGTCGATTCAGGCGACGAGAAGACAAACTCAGGACTGGACAGTGTCATCGGTGTTGATGCAAAGCTGATAATCGATGTCGGGCTGGGCGCTTGGATCTGATCACTGGTCTTCTTCTTCCGACCCTTCCGTGGTGGTTTTGCCAATGTGCTGACGCCGTCGTCTTGCCATTTCAGCTTGATCCCGTAGCCTTTGCAAGTTATCCTCAGTCTTGTGCAACGCCCACAAAAAGGTTTCAGCTCGTCGCACTTGTAGCCAGCTTCCCTACATGTCCAACAACCAGTCCTCGATCTCTTGTGTGTCGCCATCTGGGCGTGTCAAACATCTTCGTTGATACTCTGCTAAAGACACCTCTAAATCGCCATCGTCATCTATGGCATAGTGTGTCGCGGGAGAGGGTGATGTATGGGAATCGGAAGTTGTTCCGTAAATTGTCGAGGATCGAGAGTAAAGGATGGCAAACTGCACACTAACGTTAGCTCCCGCTCTAGTTCTCCTGGGCCGAGGCCTTAGAAGATATTGTTACCAACGCGAACACCAACAATTGTCCTTCCGAAACTTCATATCATAAAAGACCTCGGAATGCCAAACATGAGGTTGTGATGGCAAGTCTACTAATCAATACTATGCTTCATCCAGGAACTCTATCTCCCCCTCCTCAAAAGCCCGCACCCATCTGAACACACCCTCTTTTGGATCCATCACACACACGAAATGTGTAACCTCATTGCAAACGGGGTATTGCATCAACCACTCGGTTAGCTTCTCCGGGCTAACGCCTTTCGCTGCAGTCTGTCCTCGCCTCGTTTTACGATTTTGCTCCTGGCTCCAATCCAGCCACTTCTGCTTCAGACACTGTTTCCGCGCAATGCTTTCGTCAAGCACTTCTTGCATACCCGCATTAAGGAAGTTGTGATTTCGACCCTGATTATGAACGGCATGATTCTGAATGGCTTGTGGGTTGTCTGTAGCCTCCAACGACGCATCGTGATTGGTGGTGCTGATGAATGTCGAAGAGCGTAAAGTTCTCGCACTTTCAAAGTCTTTCTCTAGAACCACTGTTTCTGCCCCCGTGCAGAATATCAGGTATGCTACTGACGTATGCATGTGAGGGATGATGTTGAATAGTTCGGGTGCATCGTATGGTGAAATAGTTGTCGATGTCAGTGTTTCCTCTTCCTGGGCAGACCTTTTAGAAAGCCTTTGTCGTCTTCGAGGTGCGCCTAGTCTAGGTAGGAGACAATCGCGTAACAGGTTGGAGATACTCGGCTTCCGTCCCAGAAGCACCATTAGAGTATTCCAGTAATATCTGATGTTTGGCCCCGACAGTCCGTGGGTATTGTGGTAGGGCCGGAAGTTGAGTGACATGCTCAGTCCATTCCTTACGCCTGTAAGTACACCCACAAACCCCACATAGCCCACAGTCCTTGCTATCACGTCGCCACCTGTTCTGCTAACGTATTCAAACTGTACGATGACCTGCCGCAAAAGAGGCATGGACCAATCCAACGTTCGGAAATGCATCATCGTTGGCTCGACTCTAGGCTCCTTGACCATGACGCCACCGCTTGTGCAGCCCATAAGAAGGTCCAGGAAGACGTTGTAAGCGACGAGTAAATACATGGGAATCACACATGCCTGACTGATTCCTCTGAGCTCCTCGGTCTGTTCATCGCTACGAAGACGACGCAAGAGCATACGGCCTAGGAGATGGAAGAACCCAATAGGAAGCTTCAAATGCTCTACTGCTTCATCGTAGAGAACTGGCATCTGACGTAGAGCATGGGCGTAGTCAGTGGCGACTAACACATAGCGCTCACGTGGTGGCAGTGAGAGATCGATGGTGTAGATTGGAGGTGTGCAGTTTACTAAACTTTCTGTATGTTCAGACATGAGGAGGCGAGTTTGACTTGCAGAGGGGTTTGAAGCAAGAGCATAAGATTCAGGTTTGATGCGCGATGTGCGCTGTCTTAACTGAGGAGGCATGATGTGGTTGGGGACAGTGGGTGGTCGCGATCATAGAAGGAAGCCACGTCTGTTATCGAGCGGTTGATCAAAGAGCTATGACTCCAAAGTAGCAACAGTTACCTACACGACGCTTTTGGATTGTTGTCAGATCGCTCTGGCAGACAAATAGGCGCTGATGCCTAATGCTACCAGTCGTTGGAAAGTGGGGAAACGCACATCGTGCCTGGGCAAATACACATTATTTGGCATGCCAGACTACATCAGCCTCAAGTCGATAGACCTAAAGTGAGAGGAGTGTTTAACGATGGTCGGTATACGAGTGCGTGTGGATGCAAACAAACAAGTCAAACGCGAAGGCGGACAAGGAAGCTACCCCAGCTTTCCAGCTCGCGATATCCGCACCTCGGCTTCCCCGCGGACGTCCTTAGCCGGCCGCCGCAACAACCAACTATGTCGACGTCGAGCATGTGTACCACCAGATTCGCGTCAATCTTGTTTGACTCGCATCACTTCAATCGTCCCAAGTAGCACGTCGTACCCAACAGCGACTTCACCATGACAACAGCACACCAACCGCCCCCGCTGGCGGACATCCGCGTCCTCGAATTCGCAGGACTCGCTCCAGGTAATCCCAAGCTTGTTTGCTCAGATAAAGCTTCAAGGGTAGCATCTAACAGCATTCAGGGCCCTTCGCCGGCATGCTCCTCGCAGACTATGGCGCAACAGTCCTCCGCCTCGACCGCGCACCTGCAACCCCGTCCACCGACCAACTAACGCGCCGCAAAACTTCGATATGCGTAAACCTCAAGTCTCCTGCGGGCCTCGCGCTAATCAAGAAGATCGTCGCGAATGTCGACGTTGTAATCGACCCCTTCCGACCCGGCGTGTTGGAGAAGGCCGGTCTCGACCCCGACAAAGTGCTGTTGAAGTTGAATAAGCGCTTAATCGTGGCGCGCATGACCGGCTTCCGTCGAGACGGGAAATACAGTCAAATGGCTGGGCACGACATCAACTACATCGCTGTTTCGGGCGTGTTGAGTATGTTTGGGCGCAAAGGGGAGAGGCCGTATGCACCAGGCAATGTAGTTGGAGATTTTGCGGGAGGCGGCGCCATGTGTTTCATGGGTATAGTGCTGGCACTGCTGGCGAGGGAAAGGAGCGGATTTGGACAAATCGTCGAGGCAAATATGGTGGATGGGAGTGCCATATTGGCGACTATGCCACGATTAGGACTAAAAACGGAGGTCTGGAAAAGGGAGAGGGGAACAAATATGCTCGATGGTGGAGCGCCGTTTTACGATACATACGAGACCAAGGACGGGAAGTACATGGCAGTAGGCGCGATCGAACCACAGTTCTACGCCGCGTTGCTCAAGGGTATGGGCCTTGAGCCGTCGGATCTCCCTGGGAATAGGGATGACAAGGCAGATTGGCCAAAGCTCAAAGACTTCTTCACATTAGAATTCAAGAAGAAGACGCGCGAGGAGTGGGAGGCTATATTTGACGGTACCGATGCATGCTGCACTCCTGTGCTTACACAAGGTGAGCTCGAGACCCAAGGTTTCGATCAACGGCCGGCTGTAACCTTGAAGTCTACCCCTGGGTATGCGATCAAGGACGGTGATGATGGACGATCGGCTGCAGAGGGTCAGGGTATAGGATTGGACGGCAGTGGGTGGAGCGAGAAGGGCTTGAGGCCTGGCCATGGGGGTGAAGATACGTTAAGTACATGGATGGGATGGACAAAGGGGAGGCATTATATCGAAGATCAAGGAGGATTGGTCTGGAAAGATTCTGCAAGGTTATAGCCGTGCTAAACACTTTCTTCCTAATAATCTGCTCACTCTATTGCTTCTCAAGTTGGTACAGGGCCAAAACAGGCTTCATGTCTTCAGTATACACATGTATTCATACAAGCCAAAGCATGTCGTCTCACTGCTCTACGCTCTCGCCTTCCTCGCCTTGGGCTTGCTAGTCTTCTTGCCCGCATTCCTGAGTCTCTTCCTCTCCATGTTAGCCTTGATCCTTGTACTCCTCTTCCGCCACGCTGTCCATCGGTCGCCAGGCACAAACTCCTTGACCTGTACACCCGCTCTCTCTGCCGCACGTCCAATCTGCCAGTTGGCCTCGCGGTATGCGTATCCCTTGCCCTTGGTTAAGGTCAATCCCTTCCTTGTCGCTTCGCGCGGGGTATCGCGGACGCTGCTTGGGCTGCCTGTGCCGTCGCCAACTTGTAGATCGGTTACAACGACTGCATCAGCAGAGGGGTTTGTGGGTGATGTGATGGGAACAGCGAGCATGTTTAGTCGTCTCCGCCTTGCCGCGTTTGGTGGATATGGAAGGGTGTGGTCTTTCTCAAGGGCGACACCAATGTACTGTCTCTTTGGGTGTTTCCTTGGGTCACGGTAGTACCGGACATAACCAGACTCTGTAGCAAAGATGCAGTGATCGCGACCGAATTTGCAGTTCTCGCCGGGAAACCACGCTGTGCCTCGTTGGCGGAAGATGATGTTTCCTGGGATAACATACTCTCCTGCATTGCAGTTAGCCATGCCTGTCTGACAAAACGCCTAGTTGACGAGTCACACCTCCACTCTTCTTGGCTCCTAACCGTTTTCCAGGCCCATCTTTTGCTCCGTTGGCTCGTCCTTGGGCCTGATGCGCTGAATGTCTTACGAAGGAGAGGACCGGGGTAGGGGCCGAGGTGCCATTGGCTACGCGGAGGGCATCGAGAACACGGGTAGATGGGGCGATGAACGTCGTCGATGTCGCTAACGATGCGCGGACAGGCGCAAATATTCGTGGGAGCAGCATGGCCGCTCTGGTGCTGAAGAGGCGTGCATCTCAGTCCATTGCGACTTTTCGAGATGCTCGGTGGCCTGTGCGTTCTCCGCACGCCGCCCAAAAGCCACACGGTAGGAACACCATCATGCATCCCACATAGAGCACAGTGATTACGACATATATATTTTGCCTGCATCATCGCATAGGTGACTACACTATGAGCAAGCTCAAGACAGGAACATAACAAGCTAGCACCCAAAACACCTTGCATACCATGGTAGAATGCCAAATCCGGAGAACACACAAGTCTAGCAGCAAGACCGTCCCAGATATGCGCCCATCTACTGCACTTGATTCACAATCTCTTGCGCCTTGGACAAGCTCTCCACCATCTGCTGGCAGTCCTTCCGCCTCTTGACAGTGTACTCTGACTCCTTCAGTAGCTCGTCGAGCTCGTCTGTCTTGTACATGTTGGTGAGAAGCTCGCCTTGCATGTTCTCCTTGGTCCACTGGACAAGGTTCAGCATAATGGCCTTGGGTACCATATCGATCATTGTTCGACGGACAATGTTGAAATATGAGGTGATCAGTAGTTCTGAATATCGTTAGTCATGTACAAAATCGTCACCAGGGGAAGCTTACTGATAACTTCAACTTCTTGCGACTCCTTCTCGGAAAGGGTGCCTGAAGCCTTCAGTGTAGGGGGCGGAGGCTCCATAGCTGCCATCTTCTTCTTGTTCTTGCTAGCGAAGAATGAGCCAAAAAAGCCACCGCCCTCATTAGGATCGAGCGATGGAGATATCGACCGCGGCGGGACACTAGGTGGGAGTGGCTTTCCAGTCTTAGGGTCTACTTGCTGAGGCCTACTGCTATTGTGTCGCTCGTGTACAATCGCCATAGCACGCGAACCGTTGATGAAGTCAGGGTGACCAGTGTTGATGTAGACCGACTCCATAGCGACAAGATCCTTTACGAGCTTGTTGGTGGGCTCCATGGCCTTCTTAAAGAAGCTAACAACGACCTGGTGCAGCTTCTCTTTCAATCCTGGGTATCTGCGGAAAGCGTTTTTGTTGAGTAGTTGGCTGAGAATCCTTATCAACTCATCATAGACGAGACTGACACACTTCAAGCTAGGTTCTTCTAGTCGCTTGATTTGCTGCTTCACAATGAGTTCGAAAGCAGTAGTACCAACGAACAGCGCGGGGGATGAACCAGACGAGTTGTAGAGAACGGTCCGGATGTCCATGTCTTTGACCTGATCGAAGGGATCAACGGCCTTTACACCGTTGGCGTACAATTCGTGGTAGACGAAAGAGATACGGGCTCCACCTGAAAGTTCAACTGCGGAAAGCTCTTGGTTGTTGCCCTCTAGCACTCCCCGGTATTCATTGGTGAATTCTGTAATCATGTTTAGGACAATGTTGGAGCTGTTGCCGAGCATGGAGTTGCCCAGCGAAGAAAGTTCTGCCTGATACTTTTGTAGCGACGAAGCGATGCGAGCTTTGATATCGGGGAGAGTCTGTTTGATATGCATCATAAGGATCTGTAGCTGTTAGCTGTTGACTACTCAAATACACAAGAGCCTGAACCTACCAAATTCAGCTTCCGCGCCAAGTAAGGTGTACCGCAGTATGCTGCCTTGTTGCGGTATGCCTTGTGGTTCTCGAAATATTGCCTCTCGTGCTCGAGCGCGTATGAGATGGCCTTTTTGTTCTCGATGTCCCTCTGTCCTCGGTTGACAACTGGGACGTAGCCCAACCGCAATGGGATAATGCGACCGGCGAGAATGTCTACGACGTCGGTTCCTTCGTCCATCAGATCTACCTTGGTCAAAACACCAATGGTTCGTTGTCCCTCAGGGTCTACTTCACGAGCCAGCTTCAGACCGTCAGAGTTGGCCAAATCGGTGTTCGCAGCGGTAACAGCGAGAATGATGGCATTGGGCTTGCTGATCTGCTTGAGAACCATCTCTCGGATCTGACGTTCGATATCTCTTGGCTGATCTCCAACAGGCACCTTTGTTAGACCGGGCAAGTCAACCAGCGTGAGCGTGAGGACGTTTGGCGAGTATATCCTCAAGTTGATGGGTGCGGGCGAGATACCAGCATTTCGACCAGTCTTGGACTCCGTCTCCCTTACAATCTCGTCCCGTATCTTGCTGAAGTCGTGGAACTTCTGGCCAGGAATGTGCAGGAACTCGCCCCACTCGTCGGAATTGTTCTCCTGGTCTGTTGTCTTTGCTCCTTCGGTAGTGCCGTTCGGTTGCGAGGATGCGCGGTTGATGAGCTGGAGAATGAGTGGTCTTCGAGTAACGATACCAGTTCCTCGGGGCAGACTGTAGAGCTACCGTCAGTATATTCCGCTCATGCCTTGATGCAGTTGTGAACACTCACAAGTCTCTTCCAACAATGTTCTCAAGCACTGAACTCTTTCCGCTGGACTGCGATCCTACGACAGCAATCTGAGGCAAGTCTATGGGATTTTGGACCTAACTTAGGCATCAGTACGGGTGTTTGGACTTGGGTTGCAGACAGTTGCGCGCGAGTGGGCGGAAGGGAGCGACATACTCCGACTGTAGTGAAGACATCCTGGAGCTTGTTTACGAGAGTGATCAGCCCGGGGTCGTTCACGTTGATGCTGGACACCTGTTATCTTTCCGCAATGCGAGGGGCTGTTCCAGACATGTGCGTACGCATTTGGGTTTGTCGCCATGGTCGGCGAAGCGTGAGTGGAGGTTGTTTGAATACGCTCAGTGTTCGCGGATAACCGTGTATACGGGTGTAGGTGGTATCAAAGTTGTTGGAGGCGAAAGTGTCTGAGATCTGGGGTTGTTGCTTGCGGGTTGCGTAGCTGCTGCAAGTGCCAACGTCGGAGAGAGCCCAAGCTTCGATACGCCACACGACTCAGCCCCACGAAATGCGACTTTGGCATTTTCTCGACATGCGTACGTCACCAAACTGTCAGATGCATCACATGGGGGATGCGCTCAATCACTCCGATACACCACTCTTATTCACATGGAGCTATCTCGACACTCCCAGCACAACGATGTCGGGACAAGCGCACATGATGCGCATTGTGGTCACAAGACGCGAAACAGCGTCGTCAGCGGTTCAGGCAGCAGTATTGGTATCTTGGTACAATTCGCATTCTATAATCATGGAGATATACTAGACAGACGCGCTATAGGAAAATCACCTTCAAGCACACACATTTACTCGTCGACAACCGATGCAAACTTGTCGGTCATCTTCTGTAGAAGTTCTTCGTACTGTTTGAACATTAGCATTTATACGATAATAACAGTTGACTGAACTTACCTTCTTGGTGACCTTCTCCTGGCCGTCGCTGGGCAGCTCGAACTTCATCGAACGGAGCTGGCTCTGGATCTCCGAGGTCGCGTCGCGGACCTTGGGCCATGCATGCCCTTGGGAGACAGCCTTCTGAGCCTCGTCGTGGAATGCCATCATGTTCTTCATCATCCATTCAGTCTTCCACAGCGGACAGAACTGGTCGTAGTCTGAGTAACCGTTTTGTTGCAAGAAGTCCTCCTTGAGTAGTGTAGCAACGTCAAGCGTAATCTTGTCACCGTCACCCAGAGCTGATTTACCGACCAGTTGCACAACTTGGTCGAGGTCGTCTGAAGTGGTCAGAAGCTCCTTGATGCGATCGCGCAGACGGGGGAACTCGGGGTTGTTCTTGGCGTAGTACTTGTCGAGCGGGGTTGTGTACTTGCTGTAACTGATCGATGTGTTGACGGACGGGAAATGCTTTCGCTGAGCAAGCTTCTTGTCGAGACCCCAGAAGACCTGCACAATGTTGAGGGTACTAGTAGTGACGGGATCCGAGAAGTCACCACCTGGAGGGCTGACAGCACCGACAATAGACACACTGCCGAAGCGCTCAGGGCTACCCAGAGCCTGGACGCGACCAGCACGCTCGTAGAAAGACGCAAGCTTAGCACCAAGGTAAGCAGGGAAACCTTGGTCAGCAGGCATCTCTCCGAGACGTCCGGAAATCTCACGAAGAGCCTCAGCCCATCGCGACGACGAGTCAGCCATCATAGCTACGTCCTTACCCTGGTCGCGGAAGTACCTAAAGATTGGAGCACGAAGTCAGTGCCTGTTTCACATGCAGTTCGTACAGGAAATATTACGTACTCGGCGACTGTGATACCAGTGTAGATGGAGGCTTCACGGGCAGCTACAGGCATGTTGGAGGTGTTGGCGATGAGTGTTGTTCGCTTCATGATAGGCTCCTTCTTGCCGTTGACATCGATGGTGAGTTCTGGGAAGTCCATCAGGACTTCAGCCATCTCGTTTCCTCGCTCACCGCATCCAACGTAAACGATAATGTCACTGTTGGAGAACTTGGACAGAGACTGGGAAATGACAGTCTTGCCGCATCCAAAAGCGCCTGGGATGCACACGGTACCACCTTGGACACTGGGGAACAAAGAGTCGAGGACACGTTGACCGACAATGAGTGGCTGGTCGGACGACAACTTCTCGTTGGAAGGACGGGGCACCCGTACGGGCCACTTGTGCATCATGCTGTACTCGGTCTTGGTGCCGTTGAAGTCAAGCTCCAGGATCTTCTCGTCAACGGTGTAGCTACCCTTCTCGGCGATGCGGGTGATGGTACCCTTGGCACGGGGAGGCAGCAGGACCCTATGTTCGCTGAGGAGACTGTTCTCGAAGACAGTACCAAAGACGTCACCACCAGTAATGTGGTCTCCAACCTTTAGTGAACCGGGTGTAAACTCCCACTTCTTCTTGCGGTCGAGAGCAGGCAAGTTGATGCCGCGGGGAATGTAAATGCTGTTCGCGTCGTCGGCAATACCCTTGAGAGGACGCTGGATACCATCGTAGATGGTTTCCATAAGACCGGGACCAAGCTCGACAGACAATGGTTGTCCGGTCCTGTATACGGGGTCGCCTACAGTTACACCAGCTATGCGATATTAGCCACGTCCTGTCGCGTGTATGTGTGTATGGTGTGCGTACCAGTCTCTTCGTAGACCTGGATGGTGGCCTTGTCGGCTTCGATTCGAATGACCTCACCAACGAGGTTGTCGTGACCAACACGAACCTAGACGAGTCAGCATTCTCCCATCTCAGCGCATTTCAATCAACATACAAGCTCGTACATGGCACATCCGATCATGTTCTCGGCAATGATGACAGGGCTGGGTGGATCAGTATGCGACTCGAGCACTGTACAGCAGTGACGTACCCAGAAATGGAGTAGATGGCGCCTACACAGAGTTAGCGATGTCTTCAAACAGACTTTGCACATTTGTGTAGAGTGCTCGAGCTTACCATGCTCCTCGCCCTCCGACTTCTGCTCCTGCTTCTTCTGTTGCTTCTGCGCCCACGAATTAGCTGCATGCGCCACATGCCCCTCGATAGCTGATGCTGCTTACAGGAGGCATCTTGTCTACCGGTGTGTCTTTCTCGTCGTCACTGGCTTCTTGTAGGGTGATATGAGGTGGCGGCGGCTGGGTGGGAAGCTCGCCTCGTGGTGATATCAGCGGGCTCGCGGGAAGCGGTATTCGGTGTGGCTCAACGTCGTCGGGGCCGGCGGCGGGGTGAGCTCCAGATATCGAGATCTGGTCAATGTTCTTCTTCTGAACAAGATCGTACAAAGATGGCCGTGTTCGCAAACGAGGACGCAGACCGAGTTGCATTCAATCGTTGTTGGATGCAGGTTGAGGTTGAGCACGGCCGACAAGCTAAGCTGCCGCGCTAGCGCCTGGTGGGGGCATTCCTTGTCATCTGCCTGCGAGCTCTCCAGAGTCGTGGAGAAATATGACATTCATCGTGTACTTAGACACTGCAATGCCCCAAGGCACGTAACTGACCTATCTTCTCTTGTCATGATAGCATATTGGTAGCGCAACAATGTATCAAGCTGCAATGTTGACATACGTCATAGCAGAAGCTACATCCCGTCTTCGGTAAGCTACATTGTGTTTCGCTTGTTACTCCCCAGCCTCTCCATCTCTTTGGCCGTGGCAACCCGCGGAGGGAACCCATCCGTCGCAACCAGAGTGTCTCGCCGCCTGTTACCTCGGCAGTTTTGCATGTCATCATCTGTGCCTCTGCGAAGCACATGTAGCCCAGTCCAGGTTCTGCAAGTCTTTGCATCTTTTGCAGCTGAAGGACTGCTCCGAGATGAAAGCCGGAAGGAAGCGCGTGAAGAGCAGTGATGCACGAATAACTGCGACATTGACTTCGATTTCTGAAAGGATCATGGCGTAGCGAGGTTGGTCGCCAGATGGTAGAGGATAGTCTGGGCAAGTATAAGCTGCAAACGATCAGCGTACGGAGCGTGACGAGCATCACTTATCTTCAGCATAGCGGAAAGATAGGGCGATTCGAAACTTCCTCGCCTGAAACCATCGCCATTGATGCTGAACTCTACATTTCTGTCAGCCTCCCACCATCTAGGAAGATTCGAGTGAGCATCTTGCTTCCGGCGACCAACACCGTGAAGCCGATAGACAACATCTACGACGATTAGATCTAGGCAATGGCGGTGAAGGTCACAATAGGAACCAGGTTCTCGTGGCGTATGCTCGCAGTTGCTTTGAATTTCAGGATGAACCAACTTGGAGATTGGTCATGCATGTTGAAGATAAGGAGACGTGTGTTCAAGTGAAACTTGAAGTGAGCGCATTCGAGCGTTGGCACAATAGCCAGGCAGTGCAGCAGTTGTGGTCTCAACAAGGGTCCTAATCAGCTAGTCGCCTTTACCTGACGAAAATGCAAACCAGGGCTGGACGGAATCTTCGTGTAACAAGGGGCATTGTGGTTGTGGTTGCTATGATCGGTAGACCCACCGAGGTCTTCTATCAATTATATTCCTACATGAATCTTAGATCCTAGTACAATGCTTGGCGATATGAATGAAAGAAGGTCGTTGAGTAATATTCTTCCCCGTGAATTGGAGAACATGCCACAATTAAATTCTAACATACTCAAACAGACGAGTAGGATCCAATGACGATGATCACCAACCCAGACCATAAGACAGGCGTTATGTTGGAATGTGGTTCACTAGTGGGATCGGCACGTGCTGAACCAGATATGCGACATGTGTGGAAATCACTTAGAACAGCCACTAGATCCTACTATGAGATTATCCCGTTTGAGGATGGTAACCGTGCATACTGTAACGCTCACGGAAAGTGAATACTGCGTAGGCGCCGTTCGCTCAAGTCGCAGTTGTAACAAACATACAGAAGCCTTGCGACCATCGCAAAACTGCTTAGTGCTGGTTTTACTGTTAGCGGTATGAGTAGTAGGCCATCATTGACTCCATAATATTTATAGGCCACGTGTTGTATAACGCCAAGAACAACAATCGTATCCAATATTCTAGCGTGATTATGTGATTGAAGGTGAATAGGTTAACAGATGGAAGATCGGACCGATTCATCAGGTGGCTTGAAGAACAGGTGCTGTCAGATGTCGCATCCGGACACTATTTGAGCCGCCTGCGCTTGTGAATTTACCTGAGGCGTCATCTCCTAGTGCCACATGGGATCATGGAAACTTAAATAGCTAGAAGATCTACTTGAACTTAGCTGGACTGAGGTGCATCGGATACCGGGTATGAAAGTTGCCGATACTATGCGGGTACAGATATCGATACTGAAGATGGAATTAATGACAGTGGATGTTCAATTGCACATTAGTTTCTTTGTATGATTTGTTCCCCGACTTTATGGTGGCATGGGGCCGATGCTAACAGATAAGATATTCGCGATTCGACACACGTATACCTTGCTCTTCAGACTGATTCAACAACCTTACTGGCACTGTACAGTTGTGGACACTGAGTCTCAGCTGGCACACACTTTGCTGCACAGTAATTTGTCACCGCAGACTGCTTTAGTCCGACGTTTCTGTAGGAGCAAACCTGTGGTGGCTGCCTGAGTGGAGCCTTACCCGACTGGGTGAACATGTGATAAGCGGTGTGCGCTGTGGGGAGATACCCGTAGGTGTTATTGCCTTACGTGCTTTTGTTTACAAGAGCCAAGCAAACAAGCGATCATGACGATGAGAATTTATTCAGAGACTCGTGTTTTCGAGCAGACGGTTGGGCTTGCTAACAGACGAGAGATGTGGCACGTCGTTAGGGTCGAGATGTCTCCATATTCGATGTCGTGTCAAAGTCCTGAAGGAGTGTGCTCGTGCAACCGAGGGCTTGCGATCAGCGATAATACGAACGGTTGAGGCGCTTTAGACGCGAGGCGTGGGTTTGCTGGCGGACCGAGCTCACGAGCATCTACAGGTATACGCGAGATTTGCATAGATGTCGCTAAAGTCGCGTTTCGAGGAGGTGAGACCGGAGGAACTAGTGGCCGTTAGCGTCGATTACGTATGTGGGATTTGGAATTAACACCACCAGATGGCCGGTAAGTCACAAATCATTCTCGCGTATGCGCCCGATGAAATTGGCGTTTCCCGACTCTCTGGGATTTGTCAAACAACATACGATTTTCTACCTCGTGGCATCTAGCAGCCCGGAACCCAGAGCAGGCCCATCCCTGGTCGCCGTGTTGCTATTGGGTAGACTATGCTTCGCGACGATCTCTCGCTCAACCTCTGCGTACCTGCTCACTGATTGTCGTGTCATTGACGGCACCAACAAGGTTACTTTTCTTATCATCATGTCGGAGGCATGAATGTCTCAGAGCGGCAATTTGGCGAAGCCGCCATCCTGCAAGCCCTAGTCGTAATCGTGCCGGAGCACGTTTCGGAGTTCAGAGTCGCAACTCGACTTTGGAAATTTGTTATTTCCGTATCTCGTTTGACAAATTATTGCAAGATCATATATGGGTTGCCAGATCCCTCTTTTCCAGCATAACAACATGTCTTCTCGTGCTCCAAGCTCAACCGGCTCTCAACCTTCCTCTACCCCTTCTCCAAGAATCATGGCCTATGTCGCCACTCACCAGTCGTCGCACCCCTTCTTGACGCCCGCGCACGCATCCAACATATCGACATGGACATCTTCATTGCCCAGACATCAGTCGTATTCGTCTCCAGAATCCGAATCTGAGGCTCAATCTCGCGAAGCTGCCATCGAGGCCTACCGCCAGCTAAAAGCCGCACTCTTCTCGAAAGCCATGGATCCCAGCATGCCTAGACCTACTTGAGCATTTTGTGGCGGAGCGATTTCTTGTGGCATATCACAGACTATACCAAACGTACTACTGAGACGACTTATCCTTAACGACCAATGGCGTCATACGCCACCTTCTACGGCATGACACTGGAGGCTGGAACCTCAAACGATACCCCAATAGCATAGAGCGGCGCTGGCTTTAATGATGGAATACTGAAGATCTGGGGCTCTCCACGTGGCAATGATGCCATATAATTAGTTTGAACCCATCCTCGATAGTCATGATGGCCGGCACATATCCAAGATTCAAAGTGTAGTGTGACGCTACATCATCACTACTGTTAATTCACGGCTTCTTAAGAGTTCTCGAACGTCCCATTGCGCGTCATTGCACGTTGTGTGAGCCTGACCCCTTTCAACGTCCGTCTCTTTTACGCCTTGTTCAAATCCATGGGTGCTATGCTGCCCTGCTTTTACGTGACCAGGGAACTGACGTGTAGCTCAGCCCATGCCGTATTAATGATTGCCCAGGTTGCAGACTAGGGCACGAACGCCTGCTAAAAACGGTGCCGAGTGGAGCCCTGTTCGATGGCTCGGGAGGGTGTTGCTCGTCAGCATCGGTGGGTGGGGGTGAGAGGAAGGCAGCAGGGCTACATGCCGTCATATCGGCATCGGCATTGTTATCGATAGCGAAAGAGACACGGTCTGTGCGCCAAAAGTTCGCTGAACGCGACTGCGCGAACGCGCAACGAAGACAGCAACACCAAATTCTAATCAACCATACCAGGCAACGTTGAGACTTGTGACCAACTACAAAATGTCTGGAAACACACCCAAAACCATGTCCAAAGGACTGATGGGAATGAAGGTATGTAAGGCTACCGTACCATCCGACGAATCTGCTAAAACGCAAGTAGTTCATGCAGCGTGCTGCCGCAAAGTCTTCACCTTCGACGCCTAACGGGCCGCCCGCCAAGAAAGCGCGCCTCTCAAATGGTTCTGCAGTAGGAACTTCGGACCGGGAGATCATACAATCAGGGTTGGACGCAGAGGAAGCGAAGCGCCAGGCTGCACTAGACAAGGCCGCACAGCACGCAGGCGAGACGAAGTGGGTATTGAGCTTCAAGGATCCTCTCGAAGGGAAGAGGCAAGATGCGATGAACGTTAGGCAAGCGGGATTTGCTGAGCTGGATGCGGAGGACGATGAGGAAGACGAGGAAGAGGAGATCAGGCCCATAAGAATGCAATTCGGTGGTGGAGTTAAGAAGAAGGCAGATGTACGTATAAAAAGACCTGTTGGAACGATCGAGCTGACGTGCTTCAGAATTCCGTACCCTTGGTTAAGACTGAAAACTCAGATTCGGAATCTGAGGAATCTGAGGACGACTATGATTCAGAAGATCCTGCGGCAGATCTTATCCGACAGACGAAGCGCGAGATGGCGTCAGAGAGGCGCGAATCAAAGAAAATGCGCCCAAGTACAGGCGACGAATCAGCCCTGACAACACCGAAGCGACAGAACAACGATGGAAACTTGCAGGGCTTGACATCGATATCAGGCGGTCGACGCTCAGGAGGCGCAGGTAGAGGGGGCTTCAGTGGCATGGCCGACATGGAATGCTACAAATGCGGACAGAAGGGACATATCGCAGCCAACTGCTCGTCGGCACCACGTGGATTCGCAGGCAGAAGCAGAGGCAAGGGCCGGAGGTAGACGCGGTGACATCTTGGCGATGCATTTGTACACTTGGTACGGTTCAATGATACCCCATGGAGACTGCGTCTTCGATTGCAATTCGGTCATCCGACTTTATCCCCGTTTTCGATCAGCATGTACTCGTCTCCGACCATCATCTTCATTTGACTGTCGTCCATGAAGTTCTCATGGTCGCTGTTGAGCGCGGCTCCGTCTTTATCGTACATGAACTTGGCCAGGGCCAGATAGTCGGGAAAGACAAAGGTGCAGATGGCGTCATAATCCATAAGTCTGGCTTTGCCGTGCATGATGTCTTGTATAGCTTTGCGATCTCGCTCTAGATGATATGTCTGTGGCGGTCTCAGCTTCGGTACAAGATATTGGCTTTGTTCGTGGCTATACAAGGCTGTAGCTGAGTATGCCATGGCGCTGAAGAATGGGAACAGCCCGCTGAGCATGGTTGTTGTTGTAGTACTCGATGAAGTCATCATCTGACATGCCATCCTTCTTCTTGATGTATATAGTTGCCTTTACAACCTTTCTGAAGCCCGTAGTGTTCGCGTAACCTGCTTGAAATGCTTTGGGTACCATGTTGTCACGTAGACGAGGGGAAACGGTGGACGGGTAATTGGCAGCAAGTTAGCGGTGATCGGATTGGCCGTCTTATCGACAATGCAGGGCCCACCGTATCTGACGTTGATCGCTACCACAGCACCGGAGGTCCGCCGCATTCGCTGTCTGTCCATTGTTTAGTGTTTAGAGCCTCAGTCAGCAACTCCCTCGTCCCTGCTGCAGTATCCCAGTCTGTCTCACCGCCCTTGAAATCCCCGCGGGAGCACGTAATCGAATAGCACAAGGCAGCAGTCACTGGTAGAAGTGTGGTCCCCGGAAGCTCTGTCCAACCACTCCGGCCTCCACCGCAAGTCTTGTGGATGCTCCCATCGCTAGGCGCACGACAGTCTCTGGGAAATCTGTCGCTCGTACCATTACACCGAACACTTGTTCCCAGGTCCCCGGTTGCCTGGTCGATTGCACAGTACACAGTCTCGTCATCACATTGCTCAGCCTCTACTTCGCTTGCCACTCGTCGCCCCGGTCCACGCCGCATACATAGACTTCGTAGTCGCCAGGCTGCTACAATCGTCCCGCCACCTACCACACAGCGTAGCCTCGCAACGTCGCCAAGGAACAACAGCCAATCAGCCAAGATGACGGAAGCGTTGGGAAGAGAAGTCGGAGGACGGCAGCGTATAGAAGACCTGGAGAGGCCACAACTCGATGATCGCTCGTACCGAATCATCACCCTACCGAATCAATTAGAGGTTCTTTTGATACACGAGGCGGGGACAGACAAGGCTAGCGCGGCACTGGACGTCAACGTGGGCAGCTTCAGCGATGCGCCGGACATGCCAGGCATCGCGCACGCGGTAGAGCACCTGCTATTCATGGGCACTGAGAAGTACCCGGAGGAAAATGCCTACAACCAGTATCTGACGCGCCACGGCGGATACTCGAATGCCTTCACAGCCTCTACGTCGACCAACTACTACTTCGAACTTTCATATCCTTCCTCTACGCCTACGAGCAGCCAAGCCGCCTCACCAGATGTATCGCAAACAAACCTGGCAGAGTCCAAAGACGAATCGCCGCTATGGGGAGGGCTGGATCGCTTTGGCCAATTCTTCATCAGTCCCCTGTTCTTGGAGGACACGGTCGACCGCGAGCTCAAAGCGGTGGATTCAGAGAACAAAAAGAACCTTCAAAACGACACCTGGCGGATGCACCAGCTCAACAAAGCCTTGGCAAATCCAGAACATCCCTACAACCACTTTTCCACGGGAAGCTACAAGACTCTACACGACGAACCAATAGCACGTGGGGTAAAGATCCGCGATGAGTTCATCAAGTTCCATTCAACGCATTACTCGGCGAACCGTATGAAGTTGGTTGTCCTAGGTCGGGAGAGTTTAGATACACTGGAGGCATGGGTAGAGGAGATCTTCGCCAAAGTGCCAAACAAAGATCTTGGCCAGAATCGTTGGGATATGCCTGTCTATACCGAGAACGAGCTGTTAACACAGACCTTCGCCAGACCGGTTTTGGAGTCCCGGTCATTAGAGCTCCAATTTGCGTATCGTGATGAAGAGAGGTTTTACGAGTCACATCCTTCAAGATACCTAAGTCACTTGCTCGGTCATGAGGGCCCTGGCAGTATTCTTGCACTCATTAAGGCAAAAGGATGGGCGAACGGGCTTGGTGCAGGAGGATCTACTCTATGTCCTGGCTCTGGATTGTTTACCGTCAATATTAAGTTGACCGAAGAGGGCCTCAAAAACTACAAGGAGGTTGCGAAACTTGTCTTCCAGTATATCGGACTGATGCGCGATCAGCCGCCTCAAGAGTGGGTAGTTGAAGAGCAAATGCGGATTAGTGAAGTAGAGTTTCGATTCAAGCAAAAGAGTCCGCCAAGCCGGACTGCAAGTGGTCTAGCAGGCATTATGCAGAGGCCGTACGACCGCAAGATGTTGCTAAGCGGACCAGCGATCATCAAGAAGTTCGATTCCGAGCTGATTAGCGAAGCTATGTCTTACCTCCGACCAGATAACTTCAGGATGACGATCATCAGTCAAGATTTCCCTGGCGGTTGGGACCAAAAGGAGAAATGGTATGGCACAGAGCACAAAGTCGAGAAGATACCAGAGGATTTCCTTGCCGAGATCAAACAAGCATTCGAAAGCAAGAGCCGACCGGCAGAGTTGCATTTCCCACATAGGAATGAGTTTATTCCAACCCGACTGGAAGTGGAGAAGAAGGATGTTGAACAGCCGACCAAGGAGCCCAAGCTTATACGCCATGACGACAACGTGCGCATCTGGTGGAAGAAGGACGATCAGTTCTGGGTACCCAAGGCCAACGTGCACATTTACTTCCGAACACCTATCACCAACGTCACAGCCCGTATTACACTGCTATGTACACTGTATCGCGAACTTGTGAACGACGCTCTGGTAGAGTATTCATACGACGCCGACCTTTCTGGGTTGGTTTACGACTTCACCAACCACATAAGTGGTCTTTCGATTACTGTAAGCGGCTACAACGACAAGCTCCATGTATTACTGGAGAAGGTCTTGCTTCAAGTACGAGACCTTGAGGTGTCGGAAGATCGTTTCAAGATTATTCACGACCGCATGCTGCGTTCTCTACGCAACTGGGAGTACGGACAACCTTTCCATCAAGTCGGTACCTACTCTCGACAGTTCAAGAGTGAGAAGAGTGTAATGAATGACGAACTGCTCCCAGAACTTGAGAACGTGACGGCGCAAGATGTCCAGCAATTTTTCCCACAGATTCTAGCGCAGTGTCAGATTGAGGTCTTGGCACACGGTAATCTCTACAAGGAGGAGGCTTTGAAGATCACTGATCTCGTAGAGCGTACCATCAAACCCAGGAGGCTACCAGCGAACCAAGTACCGACGCGTCGGGGTCTCATCTGGCCGTCCGGCAGTAACTTCATCTATGAGAAGCAACTAAAGGACCCTGAGAATGTCAACCACTGCATCGAGTACAGTCTGTATGCCGGCCACCGATACGACAGCGTCATGCGCGCCAAACTGCTACTTCTTGGACAGATGACAGATGAGCCTTGTTTCAATCAGCTTCGTACCATCGAGCAACTTGGCTATGTCGTCTTCTCTGGCCCTAGCTTCCACGACATTTGGTCAGGTTATCGTATCCTTATACAGAGTGAGAAAGATTGTCGGTACCTTGAGGGTCGCATCGAGAATTTCCTCAACACTTTCGAGCAGACTTTGAATGATATGAGTGACGAGGACTTTGAAAGTCACAAACGCGCGATGATCAACAAGAGGCTGGCAAAACTGAAGAATTTGTCATCTGAAGATAACAGGTTTTGGAATCATATTTATAGTGATTCCTATGACTTTCTGCAAGGTATGCCAACCGTAATCCTCCGACATTAGTAAAGTACTAACGAATTTACAGCCGATGTTGATGCTGCGACTCTTGAGAAGCTCACAAAGAAGGATATGGTCGACTTCTACAACCATTACATCTCGACATCATCCTCTCAGCGCTCCAAGCTATCTGTCCACCTCCAAGCACAGGCTAAAGCAAAGGAGCCTTCGCTCGACGAGAGGAAGACTGCTGCTGCTGCTGCACTCAAGATCATCCTTGCCGAACACAAGATCACAGCTAACGATGAGGCTTTCCAGACCCGTATAAAAGATGTATCGTCTAAAGATGCTATCCCAGATGCCGTTGCCACACATCTTACTGATGACCTCAAGATGGAGAAGGAGGTCGCCAACAAGGTCCTTGATGAAGCCAAGGCTGCACTAGGTGTCGCGGATTCTGGTCTTCCTGCGGCTCCACAGGCCCTCGATGCGTCGGCGGATGTTAAAAGCATAGTGGATGCATCGCATCCTGTTCTCATTGAAGATGTACATGCGTGGAAGGCAAGCATGCAAGTCAGCTCCGGTGTGCGACCGGTACGCAACCTTGAGGAATTCGTCGAAGTTGCTGAGAAGTTGTGAGAGACACCAAGTCGATGACTTTGCTTCGTCACTGTAAAGGAAATAGATGTGCAAAGACCACCGAATCGCAATACGCGGGTGTACACAAATTAAAAACAAGAGAGATTACAGCTTCATTTCAGTGTTAGCGTAGTTGTAATTCTCTTGATCAATGCATGAGTCACACGTATTGAACACGTTTACTCGGATGCCTTCGCTTTGTCATTTGATTTTACTCTATGCTTTGTAATATACAGATACTCAATTTCTTGCGCTATTGAAGGCGCATGCCTCGTCACTCTTCACAAAACCAACTGGCATACCAAAACACCATGCACGTGGGTATTCCATACCGAACCTTTGCATCAACCTCCGCAAGTCGTCTTTCGTTCCTGGGATTATATTGATGAATATGCGATCAGTATCACAACGCGGTTCCGAGTGCACTGCGCCTTCTTCGCCGCCTACCCGGAAATATGCTACCTCTCCCACTGCTGGAGACTCAACCTCCATATCCTGCAGAGAGCCTACAAGCGAATCACGCACAATTTCTGTATACGTTGAACAACCTATACAGCGTATGGATGTACACGCATGAAGACCTATCTTTTCCTTCTCATTCTTCTTCGTCTCTCGCATTACTCGCAGTGCTGTCTCGTTGTCCTCTAGGAATAAGGTTCCTGGACCAAGAAGTGTAGTACATAGTTTCCAGCACCTCTCTTTGCTAGTGGGTGAAAATCCCAAACCAGGTGCTTCCGAATCATAGACGAAGAAGTTCTCGTCTGTGTGCCAACGGGGCTTGTCGTATTCGTGGGTTGGCGCGGTACAGCGGATTGTAAGCCAATAGTCGTGAACTTTTGCCTCTATAAGGAAAGCTTGCAGCCAGGAGAGAAGAGGAAGGAGGTGGGAGATCATGGTGGAAGGGGAAGAAAATGTCAGATCTGCCCAGGCGTGAAAGGACGGTGGGAGGGTTGCTTCGTCTGGCTGGAGAAGGGGACCGCAGTATGTCCATGAAGAGGGATGGTTGATTGCCAGATGTGGTGTTGATGCATGGCCAGCTGTAGGGGGAGCGCAGCTATTGGAAGGCACATTGTCCCACGCGATGGCGGCTGGATATGGTATGAACGCGTGAGAACCGTACTGCAGGAGCGGATCGATACCCGGTGTCAGGTCAAAGTCGCTCAACTCGAAGGATCCTTGTGTAGTCTCGGTCGACCCAGGTTCATCTTCGTAAAACAACAACATGCCCGTTTTGTGAACCTGCTCCTGACGCGTTCAAGACGACTTTTCCTGAAGAGACGAGGTGACTTTGCTTAAGATGAAAGAAGATAAGCAAGAGGATGAATTATGCTGAAGTTCACAGCCTGACAATTATGATACATGTTCAATGCTTGGCTATGCGTGTTTACGGCGCAGTGGTCGCGTAAGGCGTCTGATTAGGTGTTGATGTTCAGGGCGCGATGAAAGTCGCGACAATGGGGGGCTCTAACAAAGATGGAACACGAGTCAGGGAATCGTCCAACTACTGCCATCGTCGACCGCGTATCTGGAGTGAAGCAGACTGGTCCATATGTATAGGAGGATAGATGATTATGGTTGAGCCGTAGACGCGATCGAGGTGGGGCGGCCCGTCAACGTCCCGGCAACTTCGTCATACTTGACGCAGGTACCGACAGCTGCCCCAACATGGAGTCACCACACAGCACACGGCATAGAGAGCCACCTGGGATTGGAGGTTGAGCGGAAGAGGAGGAAGGAATACAAGCAACATGCTACGACGAACAATTCCACGGGCGACTGCACGCCCGCCACAGTTACTGCGCAGATCACACCAGCGCCGCTATGCAACAGAGCCCATCGCGCCCCCAGCCTCCTCCCAGTCGCGCATCGAGCGCTTCAATCGCCGCCTACCAAAATTCCTGCACAAGTACACCAATGCACTCGGCAACGCACCAGTCACACACATAACGTCATTTCTCATCCTCCACGAACTCACGGCCATAATTCCCTTGCTCGGGCTCGCGGGATATTTTCATTACACGCACTGGCTACCGCCGTGGTTCGCCGAAGGGGCTTGGATTGCTTCGGGAGTTGAGCGCTTTGGTCGCTACTTCAAGCGCAAGGGCTGGATACGTAGTGACGAAGCCCTGGAGGCTGAACGTGAAGTCGACGAGATCCAGAAAGATGACAAGCAGCGGAAATGGATGAAGGGTAGCGGTTTGCTGTCGGCATCAGACGATGACGGGATTGGCAGCGAGACAAAGAGATTGAGGAAAGTGGATCAGGCTTGGAACATCAGTGAAGGTGGTGTCAGACTCGTGGTCGAGTTCGCGACTGCTTACACCATTGTCAAGATGTTCTTGATTCCAAGAATTGTGTTCAGCGTTTGGGCTACACCGACCTTTGCAAGATGGACGGTTTCCCCATTTCTGAAGACGTTTCGCGGCATGTTCAGGAAGAAGGGAAAGAGCACTGAAGCTGTCAAGGGAGGCGCTGCACCCAAGACTGGTAGTGGAAAGAGTACGTGACCTTTAACGGCCTTTTACTTGCCATCAGACCTTTAGCAGGCCTTAGAGGTTTGTATTGTACATGTCTATGTACATTCCGATTAGCTTGCCAAATTGAAATAAGTGGTAAGCATTTCTCAACTCTCTAGTTGAACTTCAAAGTCACGGCCATTCGTCCAACTTGCGGTGAAGTCTCTCTTTCCCTCAAATCCTAGCCCACCATGTGTCTCCGTTTGTTCCACCCGCTGTCGGCTTTGCGGTTGTTTACTATCCTCGTCTCTAGTCTCTTTCCAGCCCAATACACCAACTAGCAACATGTGTTTCAGCGATGACGATTACAGCTACGAGTCCAGATTCGAGGTCCGCAATGGCCAACGCTATTACGCAGAAGACTATCACCCACGCTTTGGTATGTCCCGACGCCGCAAGTATGGTCTCGGCGGCTCATACTATCCTTCGCGCTACTATGTTGGCCCTCCTAGAGGCCGCCACATAAGTAACGCGGTCATTCGTCCAAATTCGTACTCACAGTCTGGCGGCGGATATCCGCTGGGTGTCGTGCCTGAGGGATATTCACGCAGCGTTCCAGGCCGGTACTCTCAAACCATGGTCCCTCGAGGTCTTGCTGGAGGTGGCTACCCTGGCTACTCGTCTGGGTATGCAAATGGTACTGGATATCATGTCGGGACCCGCGATGTTTTGGCGGTCAATTCAGCGATAGTAAGTTGTTCACCTTCTCTCTTTGCTCCGATCGCGCTGCCTTGCGCCTTCCCTTTACCACACCGCTGCCTTACCCCGCTATCATTGGCTCGCATGACACCCTGAGTCGTGACTTGGCTTCAGTCTCAATTGCCGCACCCACTTCTTGTGCTCGATCTTGTTGTGTCTGACTTCGACCTTCACCTTGTCTCTTCTCTCGCAGTACCCCATTCTGGCATTCACACCTACCCATCAAACTTGCAATATTGCAATCACCACCAGATATTCGCAAAGACTGGCTATCAATCATCATAATGGAAGCATACCCAAAGCCCCGCCACCAGTACATCTATAATCCCCGATACGGACAACGTGGCCTCCTCACCTATGCCGGCCAGGCCGCCAATGGCGCCGCACCCACCGGCGTCGTTGGAGGCGGCTTTGGCTACGGTGGGTTTGGAGGCGTTGGCGTTGGTATGGGTGTAGGATATGGGGTAGGTGCTTACCAACCTGCGGTATACAACGCCCGTCCCCTGTACCCTCAAACTTACGCCACCAACTACTATCCCCCGAATTACTCCTATCCTTCCTACGGAGGTGTCTATGGCTACTACAACTACAACTTGTATGGTTCGCTGTACCCACTTGCTAACTTCTATTGCCCCTACCAGAGGACCTACTACAATACAGTACCCACTTATGGCTACACAGCGCACGTCTACCCACCCGGACCGACTACCACTACCACTACCTACCACGTGACGAATAGCCAGGCTCAAAACTATTCAACACCCGTCACACAAACGGTCAGGGAGACGAGACCAGCATACGTCCACAGTCACGCGCAGCAAGGCCCCACACGCGAGGACATCCAAATGGAGAGTCGGAGGATTGCGACTGAGCGTGGTTCGTACGATCCGCGAAAGATCAGGCCAGCCGATGCACGCGACGACGATCCCTTCTGGTGTCGCGAAGTCAACGGAGAGTGGCATCTCAGGTCCTACTATCAGATCGAGAACGAGTGCCATCCCGGTCGTTGGATGATGGATGCTGATATCGGCTTCCTTGTATTTCATCGCGCGTGATTGGAAAGTCAATGGCCAGCTAGCGACGCTCTCAACAACGGCACTGGAGGATTGACAACAGGGACGACACAGAATGAAATGAGATACGGTAGCGATCGCAGCGGGGAGAAACTGGGACAACAGGATCTACTGTTTTCATGATCTTGTTCATGTATATACAGGCCGACGACTCAAGGATGAACAGTCCATTACGACGTAGGGACTAGGATCATGCAGAACAGGCGTTATTACAGGTGTTTCCTTGGCGACTTGCAGAGGCGGCAATTTAGCTGCTATTGGACGATAGACCACGGCATCAAAGTATCTTGTTTAATCTCTTGGGGTAGCACTTCTACACCCCTACTCGAATGGTATAGCCTCTTGGTTATACATTTAACACGCCGTGATGCATAATGTAGACATCCGTGGTTCTGCATAGACTCAACATCACTCGCAGATTTCCGGATTTCCAAACTCTCCAGCTCACATCTTTTCACCCTGAATCGTCGCAACAACCTTCCGTGTGTGCTTCGAGTCCCTGAACTCGAGGTACCAGATGCCTTGCCATGTGCCGGTATTCAATCTTCCATTTGTGATAGGAATTGTAACGCTCGCACCAATCAATGCAGACTTCACATGCGCAGGCATATCGTCACTACCCTCTGCATCATGTAGGTACAGTCCCTGTCCCTTCTTGTCTTCTGGCACAATGCGATCCAACGCCGTGCTCATATCCGCGCGCACATCCGAATCGTAGTTCTCATTCAGAGATAGCGCACAGGAAGTGTGTTGAACGAAGAGGTTGAGTAGGCCGGTCTTGTAGTTCTTAATCTCGGGCACTTCTTTCAGGATGTGGTCGGTTATGAGATAAGAGCCGCGCGATCGGCTGGGAAGGGTGAGAGATTTCTGTGACCTGGGAAGTTTTAGCAACGGAATCACGTCTGGGGAACGATAGGGGGATTGAAAATACCAAGACATGATTGGTGGTGAAGCACAGATATTCGGACTTGTGCAGACTATGCTTTTGCGCGGTTGTGGCGTCGGTACAAGGTAGTTTGCGAGACTGTTGTAGGGCGCCCAGAATATACCGACAAAGAGTCCTGGGAATAGGGCAATTACGAAGATGAATACGATCAAAAACGTTGTCAGATGCGAGGTTGTCGAGTGTGGCTGCGGCATTGAATTGAACTAAGGTTTAGAGAGTCGATTGTCGCCGGATTATGTGGGGTGCTGTGACGTCAGAGGGTGATATGTCTTGGTGGGGTTAGTACATGGCAAGCTACATGGCATGTACGTTCTTTACTTTCACTAATATTTCTTGCGAACAAATGTGCTCTTCCTCAGGATCAGAAGTGAAATTGATGTTTAGGGCTACGGCAATGTGGGCCTGTCAATAGAAAGAGCTGGACCAGCCATTATCGGAATCCCTCGGCCTGCTTCAACTTCCTCTGTTCTTCTCGGTCACTATTACATTGGGACTCAATTACCTCTGAGGAGCGGTTCATGCATTTTTTGCTGTAATGATAGCAGGACTGAGCATGTGCTCCATGTATGCAAATATGAGTTGACGTGCATAGCTGCTTGTGAATCAAAACCGGGCCTTGTTTTGAGACTCTCCAAGCTCGCAACGTGTGTTCTGGAAGTTATTCGTGGCTGCACAGGAAACAGAAGAAGAAACGAAATACAGTGTTAGATGTCAAAACCATCGAACGCTACTATAGTGATCTGCGAAGGCCGTCATTCAATGAAGCTACACTTTATGGTGTCACTCATATTCTCGAGTCCCGAAGGCCACTGACTAATCAATTCACTGAAGGAAAATCCAATATAGTTCCTCCTGACTCGAATGAGATATGCTGTGATGTCATAGGATTTTTGTACAGCGAAGATCGACTACCAGCACTTTCCGGCTTTGCGCATTGCGTTTCGCAGCACAATCCCGGAAGACTGCCTAGCGGACCTATGAGAGCAAGCAAGCGAGCTCAAGTAATTCAACTTAGTTGGCGATTCCGCGTTGACTATGACCAGCAACTATACAACAATACCTCATAACAAAGGAACAAAGGAGAGTAGGAAGATCATAAGGATTGCCTTTCACGTGGTCACAGCATTGTCTCAATTTAACACATTCAACACTAAATAATCTAGATGAGGACTGGCCACCAGGGACGCGCATCATCAACATTGGTCAATCTTCTTTTGGAGTTCCTAACTCGAGTCTGAAGGGGTTCGCATTGACAGACAATGATGTGCAATGTGTGATTACTCGACTCAATTCATTCAATCGGATCTAGCCCTGCACCCATTTTCCGTGCTGAAGTAGCGAGGCGCAGAAGATCTCCCGAGTCTCTATGAGCTCGAACACCATATCGCATGATGTTCCAGCGACTGGGCAAGACCACAGTTCTAACACGATGACAGATTGAAAATTCTCCATTGCACTATATATGTACACCATCTCCGAGCGCTCTTATGATCACAGTACTCTATCGCTGCGCGAACGGCTCACCCGTCACCTGTTGCGTCTCACTAACTTCTGCAGCATCACCTTTGGGCCCAAGCGGGTATGATAGCTCGTGCTCGGGAGTGGCTTCAAGGAGCGGTCGGTGTTTCTCATGTGCCTGCAAAAATGTCAGCATTTGTCTACTTGTAGACTACGCGAGCACTGAGAGTTCAAGCACACATAGTTGGAGAAGAAACTTACAAATGGTAGTCCGCAGTATGTGCACCAGCAGATCTGGGGCTTGTCTACGTTGATGAAGATCCTTGGGTGTCCGAGAGGTCCACCACCTCCGTCGCAAGACACTGTGCGGTCGTGGGTCCAGCGAACAGGCTGCTTGTGGATGAGCTCGATGGCGGCATATGGTCGAGGCTAAACAAGCTGTGTCAGTAGGTGCTCTCTCGCTGCAGCGTGTGTCGACTTGACTGCTCCACCCCGATGCTCCGGTCGTGTTCAAATGGGCGGATTGACAGGACATACCTGGTCCTCCATAATGCTCTGCTCGAACCTAGGCCCGCTCATGGCGACCTCCCTGGGATTCTGACTCCGCGACCAGATGCCCTTGTAGTTTGGCGCCTGTGTAACCCTCATCTTCTCGGCCTCCTCCGGAGACTCCTGCAGGACTTTGTCAAAGGAGCCCTCGGAAGAGGTGGGCAGCGCATTGGTCTCGGAGACATTCGGCTTTGCATCGCGCTTGACGGGGTCGTTGGCGGGGACCTGGTTGCTGGTCGTTGCTGTCGACGTGTAGCGGGCGAAGGAGCGGGAGCTAGCCGCTGCACCGCGGGAGCGCAGGGCGCGAAGGGCGACTGGGAGCATATCGGGCGAGGTGTTGGTGCAGACGGGCTGCGCAATTGCTTGGGAAAGATACCGCTTGGATACTGAAGTTGAGCTTCCGAGGGTTCGCGCTAGATTTACTTACATAAGCGCATGTGTTATTGGCCAAGCCGATCCGCCTTCCCTTCACCTCCAATCTTCCATGAACATCGACTCCAATGAATTATCCAAGGAGCCGCTTCGAATTAGGCTCCGAAGGCCTTTTTGGTCGCATATCAATCCTGCAACTACAATTCGTCAGGCTACAAAGAGAAAATTGCACTACATGTAGATTCAGAAGAGTGCTTCAGATTGCAATACGCAACGGGAACGCTAGACGTTTAGCGTTGGTTGACAGCTACCCCCCATGGCGCGGTTCTATCATGGATGGGCTAAGCGGTAAGTCTAAACCGCCATACCTATACAATAGGAAAGGGCGTCCACGAGTGTCCAGACACTCTCTAGGAATGACGCCCACACGCTGATAGCCGAGTCGGAGATCGGCTCTCCGCTAACCCCGGACCCTAAACCTAACCTCCAGCTCCAGCACATTCGAGACGATATCAGATTAAACACAGATCACAAATTTCTCATCACTTCCCAATATGGTCGGTTCCATACCAAACGACATCTTCCAGTTCTCCACATACTCAGCCCTCAACGCTGGCTTCAACCAAGGCCAACCACGGACCGCAGACTTGACTTCTCATGGCACCGATGGCATTGGTGTCTATGAAGATGGAAGCCTCATGATTCTGAAAGACCAAAAAGCATATGCGCTCACCAAAGATGGCAAAGCAAACTCGGCGCCCATGAATGCACGCCTTCCTCTTGCATTGGTCACAGTTTACCAACCAAGTTTTCGCCTAAAGATTCCGTCCATATCACTCGAAGGCTTCGACGACCTCGTCTCGTCTGACGATGTAGGTCCCGCAAAGGGTGTCAATACTCTCATGCCCTTCAAGATCGCTGGTCGTTTCGACTCGATAGATTTCGAAAATGGACCCAGCAGGAGTGCGATCGATGGCACTATATTTGGATTTGTGGTACCAGCTTGGATGAAAGCTATCAGTGGACCGAGGATCCACGCACATTTCTTGGATGCCAGCGAAGAGGTTGGAGGCAAGGTCACAGATTTTACCATGGCCGAAGAAGCGGTATTGAGTTTTGCCAAGTGCGGAAGGTTCCACCTCGGTTTCCCGCAAGGTGGAGAATGGGAGGAGATAAAACTGTGATTGAAGATGCGTAGGCAGGTGTGTAAGTACCATGATCCGTTATCCATAGCCCCTCCATAGCATCTTGTATTCATCCGAGTGAATTGATCACCACCAGGATACTCTGACAGTTGAGTCTCACCATCCGTGCCATCATTCTTCTTCTCTACCTCCTGCGCTTTCTTCGTCGTCTCTTCCTCTCTCTCGCGATTAGCAGCGCACTGAAACCGGTACAGATTATAATTTTCGAGACGTAGAGTTTGTTGGCTAGCTTCAGCCACCAGTTGCTTGAATAATTGAATGGGTTATTGAGGGTCGTGGCGAAGCTCCCAGTCAAGACGGTTTTGATGAACCACAATGATTTGAAAGACTCGAAGGCGGCACCTCAAATCTCGGTTGCGTATCCATAATGGTAGATGTAGCGCTTGCGTAGATGTTATCCACGACGCTTCTTGTGTGCTCTGTATCGGCCGTTGGAGAGTCTGCAGGGTAGAATTCAATGAGCACCCAAGGAATGCTGAGACCACAACTATCTTCGACTTGTTGATAGGCGCGCAACCTGGTGCGAGACACCATGTCTTCACTGTGTACGGGCTGGCCTAGATGACTGTACGTGCTCTGTCAACAGAAATCGGGAGCAAGACGCGAAGAACGCGCGAGAAAACTACCACTACGAGATTACCAATCAGTAGAACAACAAGTTATATGTATCGAGTGAGTCATCACTCATCGACTTGTCATTTTGGCGTACATATTCGGCTAACAGATGGTAGAACGACGTACGCTTTTCCCGGGAAGTTTAGGAGGCTGCCATCATAGTTGTCTCTCCACGAAAGCCCTTATGACGCGACAAAGCTGCTTGACAAGGATGAAAATAATCACGCCTGTGAGCGCGACCCAGATTAACTCGCTCCTGAGACTACAAGAAACATGATCGTCTAGTGTAGTGCGTTCAAACATTCCCGCGTGACCGCAACATCTCGTCAAATTAAGGTTGCTGTCTGAGAGGCTAAGACCTCGGGATCGATCCGCGCTAGCTCAGTTCCCTTGTTCCTTTTCTACTTTCTAACACTTACACCTTTTGCATTTATCCTTTTCACTCGTCTTTGTTGTAAGCTGCTTGTATGCATGTCTGCCCAATGGTATTACCGCTTACACCGCGTGCGGTCGTTGCTGGTAGCTGTTGTGGAGGCCTAAATCTTCGACTACGCGGGTCTTGTACGCGGGTCTTGTACGCAGGTCTACGGGCGTATTTCGCTTGCAAAGCTCTCGTAGACCGGAGTTTGACCTTTACTGCGCCGCAGAGACTGCGCATACTGAGGGCAGACATACGCGTTGTTCGTTTGCGCTATGAGCAGTAACAGGACGTGGTTGATGATACCTGGTTGCGAAAAGAAGGTGCGAGATCTACACCAGTGATCCGCAATCCCAACTACAGTATCGATACACTTGGGGTATATACCCCTAAAACTCTCAGACAACTGTGTCACCCCGTGTCTATGCGGCTAGGGACCACACCTGGACCTGTCCTCAGCCTGAAAGGATTAGCTTTCGCCCTGTGCACACATAGCTCTGATTGGCTGATTACCTTGGATTGACTATTTGTGAAAGGGAAACACAGCACTCAGCACTGCGCCTCAATGGTTACCGTCGCACCACCTGATCTTGCTCTCTTTGCATTTGCAGTACCGCTTCAAATACCACCGTCAAACTTTGCATTGTTTTAGCCCTGCTTTCATGCCTCGGGTCTTGTTTCTTACTTGGACTCGCTGTGGTTTCCGCTATTACGCACATCTAAAACTGCAAGATACATTCCTTTTCCTGTCCAAGGTTCAGAGTTGACATCATACGCCATGACGAGAACATGCAGTCTTCGCCAATTTCTCTTCTGGTTTTTCGTTGTGTTCTGCCTTCTTATGATAATCGCAACAGAAGCCGTTCTTCGTTATCGTCTTCAAGCCAGCGATTCCCATCCACTCACACGAACATCGAGGCCTCTCCAGAATCCCCTACCTAGCGCCACAAACCCGGTAACTTCAACGGCACCAGGAGCTCTCTGCAACCCAAAGACTCAATACCCACCGTTGTCAGCACCAGGTTCAAACTATGGGCTCTCACACACGGAATGTCGCACCGAATTCCCTGGTCTTTTTGACGAACTGGATCGTTCGGTTGCGGTACGAAGAGACTTGGGAAACGTCAGTACTGCGGATATTGATTTGTCTTGGAAGGCATCTGGGGCAGTGCGGGTTATGATATACAACCACAAGGTGAACTTTATTCCTCGTTTTATTGGTTCATGACCAAGATACGGAAGCTAATCATGGTGTCTTCAGCTCTACATTATTGACTCAAAATTTGACGGAAAAGGCTACCAACGACCCCGCCTTCTCGCTACTTTGCACCAAATCAACCGTGCCCTAACTTCCTCACCCTTTCCCCTTCCGCCGATAGAATTCTCCTTCCACGTAAACGACATAGCCGACGAATCTCACTCACACCATACTCTTTGGGCCTTTTCACGACATGTCTCTCTTGACAAGGAGATGTGGGTGATGCCAGACTTTGGCTACTGGTCCTGGCCGCTCGATCTGGTTGGTGAATATCAGCAGATACGCAGTGATATGCAGAGCAGCGAGGTAGAATGGGAGAAGAAAGTACCAAAGGTACTCTGGCGAGGAGCTGTCAAGACAAACAAGGAAGTAAGAGGTGCGTTAATGAGAGTTACAAGAGGGAAGTCATGGGCAGATGTAGATCAAGTGATCTGGAAGAGTAGGACGGATGTGACAGCGGGAAGTGCTGCGTTGCCGATTGTGGACCACTGCAACTACCAGTTCCTTGTGCACACTGAAGGTAAGGCAACCTTTTCTCGTTGCATAGCATGATCATCACTAAATATCTCGACAATATCGCAGGACGCAGCTACTCGGGCAGAGGGAAATACCTTCTCAACTGCGCGTCGATCATGATAACACATAAAGCTGAATGGATTGAGCCTCATTCGCACCTCTATATTTCCACCGGACCGAACCAAAACGTTGTAGAAGTAGAGCGCGATTTCTCCGACCTCGAAGCAAAAGTACAAGAGCTCTTGCAGAATCCAGAGCGTGCGAAAACTATTGTAAAGAATAGTCTAGCAACGTTTCGGGATAGGTATCTCACACCTACTGCAGAAGCATGTTATTGGAGGGAGCTCTTCTTATCGTGGGCAGATGTAAGTTTCCAGCCAGATCCTTGGGAAATTGATGAAGATGGGGTTGAGAAGATAAGGGGAGTGCCCTTTGAGACATTTGTGTAAGTTGGATATACATATCATCCGTACAGAGTTTGAGGCTAAAGTGATGCATAGGATTCAAGCACTAGACTTGGACTGCTCCTGGTGGAAGAAGGTGACCCTTCAATGTTAGATGTCAGACCAATTTTTGTTTTGGGAGACGATCCAAGATACCTATGTGAATAGCGTTATTGAAAAAAACCTTAGTTTGATATATAATATCCTGCCGTAATCAATTAGTTGTCTGGACGTCTGTTATAGTAATGTATGAGGTGCAATCGTATGAAGGCCTATCTGTTAGTAAGGCTGACCTCTACAGAGTATGCAAGACACTGCTTTGGTAGCTTTACAGGCCCTTTTTGTTTGATGAAGTGATGTGTACTGGTTGGTTAAGTTGAGTAAAGATCAATTGGAAGATTGTCGCTTCTCGTCTTTTGCGCGCAGCAACACCTGCAGAGAAGTGACGACTAACATGAAGATCTCAGAATCTAGAATTCTCGCCTATTTCCTCATCCACCATGTGCCTACCGCACAACATCGAGTCAATCTGACGCGAACCTGTTACCTGTATCAGTATGTTAACCAGCTTGGATTCACGAGCGCTCTGGATGTCTGTACACAATCAGCGATAGATCGTACTCGATTCTGAATGCATTCGTACTTCAGATGTAACCGATGTAGCCATGCGCGCTTTCCCCAAGTATTAGGATAAACCGCCTTTACGAGAATAGTAAAGTACTGCGGGTACTTTCTCGGTATTCTGAACAAGATGCGAGATTTCTGCTTCCTAGCGTCTTGCATCATTCAAGCTTGTCGACCTTTGATGGGGTATAATACGCCCAGAAAAATTCTGCCCTGCGAGCGTCGGGAAATGGTAGGTGAACTGGGGTTTACAGACCACACCAAGCCTGTTCGCTTAACTTGGCACCAATGGTCTCATCGCTGCATCGCATCACGACATACGTCCCTTACCGTTCTCAACGATTTCGGAGGGGCACCTACCCACTTTTGATAACTTCATTGTACGCAACATGGGTCTACTGACAGGGAAGGCATGAATGGCGATTCATGCATTAGTGTAGAATGTCAAAGGCAGAGTACCTATATAAGACGAGCATGTGGTGAGATACAGATATAGGCGTGGTACGTCGCCGTGTTTGCAACATGTCATCTGAACCCACTGAGCAGGAGATCTATGCGGACCAAGATGCACCTAAGCGAGTCTCCAGGTTCACGCGATGGTATAGAAGCCCGTTGTTCAATGTCATCGTTGTGGGTATGATCAGCTTTACACAACCGGGTATATGGAACGCTCTCAACAGTATGTTTTTGTTCGTCCTCTTAACATTTTGACCAAGTCTAATTGCTACAGACGTTGGTGCAGGTGGTCAGCAAGAGCCGTATCTGGTTAATGGTGCCAATTCTCTGACATTCGGGATAATGGTCTTTGGTTGCTCTCTCTTTGCCATACTTGCCAACAAGTTCGGCTTGAAGAATATACTGCTTCTGGGGACTCTCGGGTACGCACCCTACTCTGCGTCGCTATACGGTACGTATTGAGAGGCCTCAAGGAGATGTGGAGTATACTGACATTGTAGTGAACAACCGCTACGGAGTGGAATGGTTTGTGCTGCTTGGTGGTGCAACATGCGGCATCGCAGCATCCGCACTCTGGGCTTCGGAGGGCGCTATCGCGCTAGGTTACGCCGACGTACACAATCGAGGGAAGTTCACCGGCATCTGGCTGGGCTTGCGAGAGCTCGGCCAGCTCATCGGTTCCTCGATACAGCTCTCTCTCAATTATAAGAGTGGAGAGCGTGGAAAAGTAGGGTACACGACCTACATTGTCTTGATTGCACTTCAATGTCTCGGCCTTCCACTAGCCCTCCTTGTCTCGCCACCTCATAAAGTTTATCATCGCGACGGTCGCAAAGTCCCGGACCCGACGAAGAACAAAGCTGTTCTGAAAGAGGTGCAAAGATGGTGGGCATTACTTCGTGATAGGCGTTTCTTCTTACTTGTACCTGTCATGATCGGATTCAACTGGAACAACACGTACCAAGGCATCTATCTTACCAAGTACTTCTCAGTTCGTGCGAGGACGTTAGGATCCTTGACTTCGGGTGTTGCAGCGACATTCGCCAACATCTTCTGGGGCTGGTTCTACGATACCAAGTTCGTAAGCCGACCGACGCTCGCGAAGGTTACGTGGGGCATCTTCTCATTGCTCATGCTGGGCCTGTTTGGCTGGCAAGTCGCCAATGAGAAAATGTATGCCGGCTCAAAAGTGACACTCGACTGGGATCTCCCAGGCTTTGGACGTGGGTTCGCTGTCAATGTACTCTTTCGGTAAGTTCATATGCATCATAAACATAACGAAGGCTGATCATATACAGCTTTATGAATGAGTCCCATTACATGTTCGTATATTGGATTCTGGGAGCTTTCTTCGACGACATTGAAACTCTAACTCTTGCGGTCGGCTTGTTACGTTCATTCGAGTCGGTTGGATCCTGCTTGGCTTTTGGTATCGGGGCCGCTAAGATCGAGCCCATGGCAAATCTCATCGTTGCTTTCGTGATGTTCGCCATCACGATCCCATCGACGTTTGCAGCAACGTTTCTTGTTCCTGAGAGACCCATAGATGAACGTATGAGCGAGCATGGCCTCGTGGAGGCGGCAGATAGTCGATTTGCTGATGAAGCGGTGATGGACGTAGCAAAGAAAGACAACGCGTAGCACTATGTACGGGGATTAGAATAGTGTTAGTTGGGATGAACCAGATCCGTCGGGTTGTTGTACGATACTGCTAATTTTCGCTGATAACGCAACCAAATTAAGTAGTAGAAGTACGATTGATGTTCATGTAACAGGGAAGTATGGTGCTGGTACTCTCATAAGAGCGCACGGTAAGATATTGGTGACGTGATGTTTGTGACGACGAACTATCGATTTGGTTCCTAGGTTGGTAGCGTGTGATAGCTGCGGCGAGAGGCCTCGGAGGCTTTCCACTTTCGGATAGCTCCGCCTCATGTGTGGCGCTGGTAGCTCCAGCCAGCTGCCTGTACCACAACAACACAGCCTCGCTCCCGACCGTCATCTTATATACTTCTGTCACTCCCGTCTTGAGCTTCATCTGTACTACACAAATCTAGAAAGATGACGAGAAACCCACCCAGCCTTCGCAAGGCGGCTTCAAACGCTGACCTGTACGCGGACCCGTCACCGCCCCGCCCACTCCGACATTCGTCCTCGACAATACTTGGACGCGCTCATACGACTGCATCGTTGCCACATCGACAGCGGCTGGACCGAGCTGCAGAAAGAGGATGGAGGAGTCAGGTTGTTTCTGACTATCGTAACCGTCACAGCATCGCCGCAACCTACCCCGATCTCATTGACGTTGACGACCAAGACTATCCGGCGCCGTCGACACACCAGAACCCGCCGCCTGTTCCGCCCAAGATACCAGAAGTGCCAGTTGAGCAAGCTGAACCGAAGGTTGAGATGTCCAAGCCGACACCTTCGCACTGCTGGATTCCCGTTCCCGCTCGATCGAAGGAGGATCCAGCACGCTACACGAAGCCCTTTACCGACTACATGACACGCAACCCCACCATTTTCCACGCCGTCGATGCCGTCGCTCAGGACCTCGAGAAGGACGGATACAAGAAGTTGTCAGAGCGCGATTCATGGGAGCTGAAGGCGGGAGGCAAATACTATGTCGAGCGAAACGGAAGTTCACTCATCGCATTTGCTATTGGAGACAAGTACGCGTCCGGCAATGGGGCTGCTATTCTGGCCGGACATATAGACGCCCTCACAGCGAAGCTGAAGCCCATCTCCAAGCTTCGCAACAAGTCGGGATATGTACAGCTAGGTGTCGCGCCTTATGCTGGCGCGCTAAGCGATACCTGGTGGGATCGCGATCTGGGTATTGGTGGAAGAGTTCTCGTCAAGGAGAATGGAAAGATTGTCACCAAGCTTGTTAAGCTTGACTGGCCGATCGCAAGAATCCCGACGCTGGCTCCCCACTTCGGTGGTAAGTTGTGACTGTACAAGATGCACATGAGACATACACTGACTTCGTATCTTCACTTTTACAGCTGCCGCAAATGGCCCCTTCAACAAGGAAACGCAAATGGTACCTATCATGGGTTTGGATAACAGCGATATCGGTAGCTCATCAAACAACGAGGAGGGAGACTCGAAAGCCGGAGTATTGGGCGGAGAGGGCGCCTTCACTGCTACTCAGCCTGAGAGGCTTGTAAAGGTCATCACAAGCGAACTCGGAATCACTGACTGTAAGTGTTCTTACCTTCAGATCGTCCAAGACAACACTGACGCGTAACAGATTCATCTATTGTCAACTGGGAGCTCGAGCTCTTCGACACACAACCCGCACAAACCGGTGGCCTTGACCGCGAGTTCATCTTTGCCGGCCGAATCGACGACAAGCTTTGCTCTTGGGCCGCAATCCAAGCTCTCCTCAACTCTAGCGCATCTCTTTCAACCTCATCCCAGATCCGCATGGTCGCAGTTTTCGACGACGAAGAAGTTGGCTCGCTACTCCGACAAGGTGCTCACGGCAACTTCCTCCCTAGTGTCATGGAGCGCATCGTCGAAGAATTCGCTTCCAACGGAAAGACAAGCAGCGCATTGAGCAGGACATATGCAAACTCCTTCCTTGTCTCGAGCGACGTCATCCACGCTGTGAACCCCAACTTCCTCAACGCGTACCTTGAAAACCACTCTCCGCGTCTCAATGTCGGTCCCGCCATCTCTGCGGATTCAAATGCACACATGACGACTGACGCCGTCTCTACTGCTATCTTGCAGCGCTGCGTAGACCGCGATATCGGCGTTCGCAAAGTCGACCCTAAACTCCAGGTCTTCCAGATTCGGAATGACAGTAGGAGTGGAGGTACGGTAGGACCGATGCTGAGCTCTGCGACGGGTATTAGGGCAGTAGACTGCGGAATCCCGCAGTTAAGTATGCACTCCATCAGGGCAACTACAGGAAGTCTGGATCCTGGTCTTGGTGTATTTGCCTTCCAGAGTTTCTTGGAAAACTTTGAGTCTGTCGATAAGGAATTCAGGGAATAGGATCTTGATCAATTTTGATAGCATGTT